GTTTATTGCTTTCCCTCTGTTGCTCCTCCTCAACATGGTAACTCAGAAAATGAGAAAAAGACACGAGACACTTCAAACATGTTGTGATTTTTATTTTTATTTTTACCCCAAACCATGATAAGTGCATAAATCCAACCAAGTATTTTTTGGTTCTTAAACCTAACGAAATGTCTAACATGTTGTTGACATTGTGAAAGGGCAGATTTTAACCTAAATAATATTTTTGTGAACCTAACTGCGTTGTTTAGGTACATAAACCCAACCAACCATGAATCCACCACATCCTCCTAATGTGGACTTTGTAAATTCCTCCTACTACCTCATACTGTCACCTTCAGGTAGTGAAATAATTTCCCTTAAAACATACTTGAGGACGTAGTTTAGTTTGATAAGATTTTTCAGATTATTCCTCTAACAGGAAGTTCAGCACAACAACAGTACATGTATAGATTCCTTGACATCATAAACTGCTAAAACTCGTCTCTGTGCATCAAAGTTACATATTTAGATTTTTTTTTTTCTGTAAAAATAATCCCTTCCTGCCTTTAAATGGCTTAGATGTAGCTTCATACTGTTGCTTCCTTTAGACTCTGGAGCTCTATGAAGTCCTTGCCTCTTTCTCCACACACCTCTCCCCACTCCCTGCTGCCTGAGCACACCAGCTCACCTGTGAATCTGTTGAAGCACCGTAAAACTACTCTGCATTACACAATGGTGAGCTGTAATACTGGAGTGATTCAAACACGTTTTGGAAACAGAAACCGATTCTGAAGAAGGATAGCGATTCAGAAGCTCCCACTCAGTGTTGACTGTATTTGTTCCTTAGATTTCTTACATGTGAAACTCTAAGTCTGAATCTGTGATTTTGAGATTGTCATTGATTCACTGCAGCTTCAAGGTGGAAAATGCTCAGCGTAGAGTTTAGAGCACAATGGGAGATCAAATTTGCTTGTGATGTATCTTCCAGCATACAAAATGACTAAATAGATATGTTGATAAAGTAAAAAAAATATCCAGTACAGGTTCCCCAGTGTTCACCTTGTGGTGCAGACGACCCACGAATAAGAACTGAAAGCCCCTAATACAGTAGTGGTGGATTGACTCCGACCAAAAGCAGGATATGATGTATGTTTGTTACTTGTAATAGATGTGCAAGGAGGTCCTTTGGTTTAAATCCTGTCAGCTGTTCCACCACCACTTTGGTTCAGACTGAAATAGTTCAGAAACAACTAAACTGACAGTAATGAGAGTTTGTACAGATCTTCATAATCCCCAGAGGATGAACCCTAATAACGTTTGTGATCCTGTGAGTTTTTAATCCAGTGTTGCCGTGAGGTTGACATTTGTGATGTAGAGTGACATATATCAACAATTTTTCAACAGACTGCCACAACCACGGTGCCCTGTAGAGAAGTCCTCCTGACCCAGATGATCTTCTGCTCCATTAGGAGGTAAAGCACTGTTGGTTATCCAATGAAATATCTTCACATCACAAATGTTGTATCACGTTTCATTCAGCACCACATTCATGATGCAGAGTGAAATGTCTCGACAGCTCCTGTGTAGAT